GTCAAGGCAGGAAAATCAATGGGAATTCATGACTCCAGAGATGTTTGGCAATGATTTGAACATCCTTTTCACCAGTTTTGTCACCACAAGCTTACGGGACAACCCAACCTTATCTTGCACAATGTCACCTCTCTTCTAAAACGCTTTTGACTTTTTTCACCTTAAAACACTGAAGCTCTGTGACAGTGCAGTTGACGGCTCTTTGCATCCTTCTGTAAAACGCTCACTCACTGAAATTTGGAGGTTTAGTTTTCACAGATTACAAGGCTCCTTTTAAATGAAATTCAAAAGTAAAGACGGAAAAAGTAGAAAGATGCACGTGGCATGCTTTCCTCCACAATTGCTAAGGTTTCTCAAGTTAACATCTCCAGGCCATTAACCAGCTGTTATGTAACTATAAGAGCAGCGACCTTCAGGTTAACATGTATGATGACTGCCGGGGAAAGCATTGTCTATTCGCAAGTATGAACAGGCAGGCTCCTCGCTCCACGGCCCTAGGGGGCAGTCCCTGCTTTTCCCACTCAGATATGGTCTCAGAACAGTTCCTAGCATATTATAAAGCCAGGCACCGTGACCTGTAGATACGTCTACCTGAGAAAAGTTCCCATAAGGCACAATCTGTTTATTCAACAAATACTAATAGAAATATATTCACTTTCCTTCACCTAGAAATCTGTCTTTATTTGAAAATCAGTGATGCTTAATGCTTAAGGAGGTATTGGCAGGTAGCTGGAGCCTTTAATCTATTCAAAAGATCCTTACCTGCCACAAGCATGGTAAGCCCCCTACGGCTAGTCTTAGGAAATATCCTAGACCCTCTTTTCAGTTAGAGTAGTTAATCATACCAATTAATCCCGCCCAGTTTTTCCATCCCGTCACCTTTACCTTCTGAACGTTTAACGCATGGCCTCTTACCATCCTTTCCCTCCCCCCATTTTCACTGTGCTCTCACACAGTACCCACATCCTCGCATTTACCCACTTTATCATTTTCCTCCCACCAAATGTACACAGGCATCTCCTCTTCCAGGATAATACATGGATTTACTGCTCATCAGACACAACGGGAAAAAACAGCGTGCTCAAATGAGGATAAGGGGAGGCAGGTAGATTTGTTTATAAAAAGACTAGTTGTGAACATGCAAGTGGGATGTAGGGAACCCACAAGTGGTGTTGCACGCCCCTGGGGCTGAAGAGAGCAGAGATTTTCCCACCCCAGTCTAAAGGGACAAAGGGACAGTGAGTACCGGAAGCAAAGGAGAGGACTCCAGACGTGCTGGTCCCACAGTTGTTTGCCAGGTGAGCTGGGCACGGAACTGGGCACAAGGGGCAGAAATTCAGAGTAAGCATGTGTAACTTTCAACAGCAATGGAATGGTTGTGTGTCCCTTGTATCCTTTTTCAAAAACAGGGTCTAGATTGTATTTTTCAATTGTATTCCATTTTTTCTAGTAATTCCTCTGCATTCTATTTATAAAAGTACTAGCTGCCAACAAATTGAAAATAAGAAAAACCAGTTAGCCTTCACCACAGATGGTGTAAGAATCTCTCCTGTGGAGAAGGCCTTCTGGAGCAGCCCAAGAATACGCAGTGGAAAGACAGTGAAGGAAAGCGAAGCCCCACCCCCACCTCCTCTGTCCCTGCAATCTCTCGGGGAAGGTCCCCTCTCAGCATGCCCACTGAGGTCCACACAAGGTCAGCCTTTGGGGCAAAAAGCAGGATGTAGAAGGATGGAAAGCAGATGTCCATTCTGTACAATTGAAAAGTTTATGTCCTCAACATAGCAGGTGCACAGAGTCCCATCATCCCAGGGGCATGTCATTCTGGTCACATTTCCTATCAGTTGACTGCCTCTGAGCTCCTGCTCCACCCTTCAGCATGTGCTCTGCCATGAAGAACAGAATTCCCTGAAGCCCCCGTGCTTTGCAGTGAGGGCCACGTTGCACTCTCTTAGGAGAGGGCAGTGGAGGGGTGCGTAGGAGGAAAGGGCTCTCCCGCTGGTCCCAGCTGCCATGTGGGGAGAGGACTTCACTCACAGTCTGCCCCCGCCACACACTCAGAACACAGGGGCCCTCTGCCACTTCTAAGCTCCAGCCCAGCCTGGTATTAAAACTAGAACCCATTTCACAGGGTTGTTGCAAGTACTAAGATTTAAATAATAGAATAGAATAGAAATGTAATATAAGCAGCACATTAACACACAGTCCTCACAGTTGATCTTATCCCTTACTGTCCTTTTAAGCTTGTTGCAGGGGCAAGGACTGAATCACCCTTCTCCTACCCCTGGATGAAAGCTGCAGTGGGGCAGTGAGTGTCCTGGGGGAATGTAAAATCCTACGGACACTTGGAGTCACAAACAGCCTCAAGTCAGCCAATGAAAGTGTCCAATCCGATCCATCCAGCTTCACCTCCATCCATGTCCAAAGGTAAGACTTCTCAAAAGGCAGGCTTTTCGTTTATCTCCTGACTCTTTCTGTCTGCTTACTGGTTTTTGCCCTTCCAGACTTAAGTGCTTAGACAGAGACCAGAAAAGAAGGGATAAAAAAAGTTCTTACATAATGCAAGGGTACATGTCGGATCTATTAGTATAGAGTATAAATGTCTTAACACAGTAACTAAGTAAACGAGATGAGGTATATGTTAACCAGTGTGATGCAAGCGTTCCTAATTCTATATGAAATCAGCACATTGTTCCCCCAAAATGCATTAGTGTATACAGGATCTATGTGTTTATGATTTAATAAAAAATAATAATTAAAAAGATATGGTTTCATGCCATCAGACAGGTCCTTAAAGCTAACCTTTCTCTTACAGGCACTTCTTTGGGGGGCTCCTCCCCAGTGGTGTATTCCAGTTCTCCAAGTGCCCACCTAACTATGGAGGGAAACACATGCCTTGGAAATAACGGAACAGGTGCCTGGAGTTTACGGTTTATCTAGCTGCCTTAGCGCACCTCACGTCTTCCTGGTAAAGTCACTGATTCTGGGATCATACAGACGGTGGAGGCCTCCCCTGTGGGAAGCTAAAGGGCCACAGCAAATGCTTTGTACATAACCAGCACAAAAAAAGAAGCCAAAGGGAAAAAGAAATCTAACACCGTTATTACAACCCGCAGCTCCGTGGAAGGCAAAGTATCAGTGAGAGGGCAGCTGCGGTAACATCAGAGTGAGGTAATTTATTCATTAAAGGGTTAAGAACCTCTTGTGCTGTAATAATAAACAGCACGTGAATAAACACAGGAGGAGTGTGGAGATCCTGGAGGTAGCCCCCCGATGAAAACCAAACTGAGACCTAAAGGAAGTAATGCCAACCAGAGCGTGGAAGACGGGCCGGCAGCGGACGTCCCCCAGCATGGACCATCAGTAATTAGCGGTGTTGATACGCCTACACCAACCGTCTGGTAAACTCAGGGTGCTGTTTTGGTCCTTCTCAACTAGTTCACTTTTTAAAAAATTTAAGCTCCTAAAGAAACTCTTTTAGATGTGATAAATCAGAAACATCCAGTTCAACAGGGCCTTTCCAAGCATCTCCAGACCATTATAATACCACCATTCGGGGACTGTTGACCTTGCAGACTCCCAAGTTGACTGTGCTAAGCAACTGCTCTAGAAAGGAATAAACCATGGCAGGGCTCAACTTATGGTCTGAACGTATCACCAGTCTCCTATTTAGATCTCTCCGCCATAAGACGAGGTACATAGTAGGTGCTCAAAAAAGATACATGTAAAAAGAATAATGAACAACACAACACATGGTTTCAAAGTGTTTACTATTTGGCCAAACAATGATTTTTTAAGTGTAAGTCATAAAGTGAAATACTCGTTAACATACATGTTAAACACTCACCAAATCTGCGCTACTGCTATATGAAAACAGTCTTTATTGTACGGGAAAAACATAATTCCTGAGATCGCGGTTGGTGCTCGTCAATCATTTTCCTCGCGGTCAAATCATCTTTCCCTAAGTGACTTGGGAGTGTGAACTGGGGTTAGGACATTCAATTTTAGACCAAAATTGTCTCTGTATCTGCTAAATGAGTACATAGGCTCCCTGTTTTATAAAAGGTAGAAAAAACCACGGTGTGCTAATGTTTTCCTAAGGTATACCATATGGAATAAGGCAGACAGAACACAAAAGTCTCTCCTGAATGACTCTCAATCACACAGAAGGAACATATGTTTTCTGGTTAGTCAGTCCTTGACATACAGCAGTCCAGCTGTTGTTTTGCATTTATTAAAACACTCTCTGCTAAATAATTATGTTCATCTTCAAAGGTAAATCACTTAAAATTACATTCAGAATCTTCCTCTGAACCAACACATGAGGTTCACCTTCACAAAGCCAACGCCTGGCCCACCGCAGCTGCCTGGTCACCGGCTTGGCACACTGTTCTTTGCATGGAATCTGGCAGAGTTCACGAGTAGAAATTCGCCTGAAATTAGTAGGGTGAAGCAATCCTTACTCTTTTCCCAATTCATATTATTTTAAAGTGGTTTTCAAAACAATCCTACAAGTCTTTTGATGGAAATATAATTGAAACAAAACAAAAAGGTATGAGAAATCTTTCTTTCTTGGGCTGCATAGAGCTTGGACGCCTCCATATTAGTGTTCAGATGTTTCGATTCTCATCCACATTTTGATAGACCTTCTCTGCAAAACACTGAAACAAACTGAAAAACCACCTGAAGCTTTGATCCTATCATAGAGTTTTAAAAGCTTGCACAATAGATCTGATATTCTTCTCTAGGCCCAGGTGTCTCTGTGATTCGAGAAAGCAGGGCTCATGCTTTACGATGATATTAAATGTGCATGAAACATTGACAATGGATATTCACCAGGGACTCTCATATATTAGGCATTTGAGACTGACACCAAAAACCTTTTGAAGCATTTTTAACAACAAATAATGGCCTATTTCATAGACTTTAAACCAATAATTAGTTTTCTGATCTACCACTGAAAACAAAATTTCTTTTAACTAAATGGGATCAGCTTAAAATCCTTGGAGATGTTTTTATTTATTAAATGCCTTTATTAACAATACCATTTTCCATTTCTTATTACTCCAGATCGATTTCTCCTGCATACAAGGTAATTAGCAGAATGGTTGTGAATCCCGTTAACATTCCAGCATTCTGAATCATGAAGAATGTGAAATCGGTTTTTCTTCCCGTTATCTTTTCTCTCAGCATATCATTTATCTCTGGAAACTAGAAAACAGATACATTGTTAGATAACTGTTGCCATCTTGTGGTAAAACCTAAAACAGTCATTGTCAGGCATATGACACAGTCTCTCCAGGAGAGACTGTGGGTTTGGTCCCAGACCACTGCAAGAAAAGTGAAGATTGTAATAAAGTGAATTACACCACTATTTTTGGTTTCCCGGTGTATAGGAAAGATACATTTATACTATTCTGTAGTTTGTTAAGTGTGCAGTAGTATTATATCAAAAAAATAATGTACTACCTTAATTTAAAAAATGTTCACACTGCTAAAAAATGTTAATGATCATCTGAAACTTCAATAAGTCATACTCTTTTGGCTGGTGGAGGGTCTTGCCTTGATGTTGATGGCTGATCAAAGGAGTGGTTGCTGAAGATTGAAGTTGCTCTAGCAATTTTCTTAAAATAAGACAGCAACAAAGTTTGCCACATCGACAGACTTCCTTTCATGAAATATTACTCGGAAGCGTGTGATTCTGTTTGCCAGCATTTTACCCACATTAGAAATTCTTTCCAAATTGGAGACAATTTTCTCCAACCCTTCTGCTGCTTTATCAACTAAGTTTATGTAATATTCTAAATCCTGGTTGTCATTTCCACAATCTTCACAATATTTTCACCAGGAGTAGATTCCATCTTAAGAAATCACTTTCCTTGTTCATCCATAAGAAGCAAGTTTTATCGTGAGATTACAGCAATTCAGTCCCATCTTCAAGCTCTACTTCTGATTCTAGTTCTCTTGCTATTTCCACCACATCTGCAGTCACTTCCTCTGCTGAAGTCCTGAATCCCTCAAAATCATCCATGAGAATTGGAATCGAACTTCTTCCAAACTCCTATTAATGTTGATATTTAGACCTCCTCTGATGAAACATGAACGTTCTAAATGGCACCCAGAATGGTAAATCTTTTCTGGAAGGTTTTCAACTTACTTGGCTCAAATTCATCAGAAGAATCACTATCTATGGTAACTATAGCCTCACAAGATATACTTGTTAAGGAATAACTCTTGAAAGTCAAAATTACTTCTTGAGCCATGGGCTACAGAATGGATGTTGTGTTCGCAGGCAAGAAGACAGCATTAATCTCTTTACACATCTCCATCATAGCTCTTGGGTAGCCAGGTGCCTTGTTAGTGAGCAGTGCTATTTTGAAAGGAATCTTCTTTTTTCTGAGCAGTAAGTCTCAATAGTGGGCTTAAAATATTCACTAAACCTTATGGTAAACAGATGTGCTGTCATCCAGAGTTTGTGGTTCCATTTCTAGAGCACAGGCAAAGTAGACTTAGCATGTACCTTAAGGTCCTAGGATTTTTGAAACAGTGAGTGAGCACTGACTTGTCACCAGCTACATTTGCCCCTCAAAAGAGGGTCAGTCTGCCTTTTAAGATTTAAAGCCAGGCATGGACTTCACCTTACTACTACAACAGTCGAGACGGCATCTTTTCCACAGAGAGGTTTCATGTTGCATTGAAAATCTGTTGTTTCCTGTAGTCACCTTCATCAGTGATCTCAACTAGAGCTTCTAGATAACTTGCAGCCTCTCCATCAGCACTTGCTACCGCACCTTGCACTTTGCTATTATGGAGACAGCTTCGTTCCTTAACCATATGAACCAACCTCCAGCTTTTCTTCTGCAGCGTCCTTTCCTACCTCAGCCTTCACAGAACTGGAGAGCCTTGCTCTGGGTTAGGCTTTAGCTTAAAGGAATGTTGTGACTGGTTCCGCCTTCTATCTAGACCAGGAAAATGTACTCCAAATCAGCAGTAAGGCTGTTTCACTTTCCTATCATTTGTGTGTTCACTGGAGTGGTGGCACTTTAATACTCTTCAAGCACTTTTCTTTTGCATTTTCACAACTTGGCTAACTGTTTGGCACAAGAGACCTCGCTGTCAGCCTATTTCAGCTTCCAACATGCCCTCCTCAATAAGTGGAGTCATTTCTGGCTTGGGATTTAAAACGAGAGGTGCCTAACTCTTCCTTTCACTTGAACAGTTAGAGGCCATTGTGGGGTTATTAACTGGCCTAACTTTAATATTGTGCCTCAGGGAATAGGGAAGCCCACAAAGGGGAAGGGAGACGAGGGCTCAGCAGCTGGTGGAGCAGTCAGGTACACACAACATTCATTGATTAACTCTGCCCTGTCATGGTGCCCCCAAACACAGCAGTATAATGATATTAAAATCATTGATCACCATAACAGATATAATAAGAATGAAAAGATTTGAAATATGCCCAAATTACCAAAACATAACCCACAGGCATTAAGTAAGCACATGCTACTAGAAAAATTGTGCAGGGACCCCAAACCTTTAAAAAAAACAAGCATTAAAGCAAAGTGTAATGAAACAAGGTTTGGCTGTGGGAGAAGCAGCATGTTCATTTATTTCAGATGATTAAAGGACTTTAGTACAGACTGTTTAATAGAAAAAGCCAGCCCTTTCAGGTATCAGTAAAAGTGCTGAAACAGTGATATTCTCCAAGAGCACCAACCAGAAGAACGGGATTTCCCTCAGTTCACGCCTTCTCTCTCTCAATCCCATCCTCTCCGTGCCCTGTCCCCACCCTTCCTCCAGACCTTAAATGCATCCAGCCTCTTTCCTTCCTCAAAATACTCACACCTGCCACCACCTCTACCCGAACTCTTCTATTCCAGTGTTCAGGGGACTAAATCCTTCCGGTTTCACCCTGAAACGCTTCCCACAGCCCCTCCTCATTCACCCAGATTCCTCATTATCATCTTTTATCACACATACTGCTGTTCCTTTTATTTCACAGTATTTTTTATTGGTAATTATTTAGTCATCTGTGTGACTTTTTGTTTGTTTAATTTTAGGTCCCCCTCTTTCGAGATGGAAAGCTCCATGAATGCAAAAACTGTGTCTATTCTGTTCACTGCAGAGCCCCCAGACCATACAGATTTCTAGGTCTAGTATAGAAAATACATCAGTCGTGCCTGGTTAAATACATTTTTATAAATAACTATACATTTATTTCCCGATTTCTTCGTTTCCTTCACACCTGCCACCACTCTACCCTCACAAAACCACAAGGTTCTTAAATAAATTATGCACTATTCTAGGACTGGAGACTATAAGAGGCTCATTTTAGTGAAAGCAATGAAAACCCTAAGTATTTTACTCAAAATCTACCTTCGCTTAGCAGCCAATTTCACCTGAAAAGGCTATATAACAGTAAATTGCAGATTTTCAAACTATATTCCAAAATAATTATATATATACACACACACAGTGGCCATAAAGTTCATGTGCAAGTTAAATAGCTATAACTATTATGGCCACCCTGTATATGCTATGGTACATTCTCCCAAAGCATCCAAGAGGTGTCCAGAACCCACAGTCAACCTACTGCCTAACTCCAGGTAATTGTGGCTAGAATAAAATGAATGAAACTGCACATCATTCTGAAAAAAACAAAACTGCTGAAGTATATGCAGCATCACGTGCTAGCATTATTTCTTTAAACTAAACGACTCTAATACTCTAGAGTCTGCCATCACACCAGAGAAAGGAGAAGTAACCACCTAGACTAAAGAGAGTGGGAGATATTAATTCTCTAAAGAAAAATGTAAACATGGTGTTAGTAACAGATGAAATCCTTGCTCTTCTAAGTGTCTACACAGAACAATAAACAGAGCCACACAATTATAACTTGGAGCTAAGAAGACAGATGAAGGAAATTAAATTATTTAATTATGTATGTAAGACATTCAGTTCCAAACTCAAAAGAAATATTTCTTCACTTTCATACAGGGTCACATTCTCAGTATCTAGGAAGCTGTCTGTGATTAATTTAAAAATGCACACAGTGTTCTCCCTCTTACACACACACTCATGCACACTCCCACACATATCCATGTGAGTGTGCACACACACAGAAATATATCATTGTAAATAAAGACAAAAACACTGTATACACATAAATAAATACAAGCTGACCGAAATAAATATTGTCCTATTGTAACGTTATTGACTTTAGTCTACTGGTTTTGTTTAACCCAAAAGGCTTTCGCTGGTTAGAGCTCTGAAATAACAAAATGCTATTTGCCCTACCAAGTTATTCATCTTCCAAATGTGACATCCCCACCAAAGGGAAAAGTCCTAGGGTGACATACTATAATAAAAGACGAGCTTTACCAACCACAAGGCGAAAAGAAATCTAGGGGGTGGGCGCAGCAGTTATGCTTATAATCCCAACACTTTTGGGGGCCAAGGAGGGAGGATTGCTTAAGCCCAGGAGTTCACAACCAAGTGAGACTTTGTGTCTACAAAAAACATTTTTTATTTTTTTAATTAAAAATAAATAAATAAGGAAACTTAGGAAAGTATCTCTACTTTAGTAAAAACAAATCGCTTCACCCTCTATCAATAATGTCTTAAAGAATCCATGAAAATCACTTTCAGATTATTATTGGTGTGAACTACTCAAGAATGATACAGCAATGTTTTAAATTACCATTGAAATGTCTTCTACATTGGAAAGCAGAAGGCTGCCCTTCGTCAATTCAGAACCCATATGCTCATTTCTAAATTTTAAATAAAAATAAAACCAAAATTTTAAATTTCTTACCATATCTGCCAGAGAAATATAGAGAAACATGCCTCCAGCAAGTGCAAATATGATATTTGGAGCAAAATTGTTGCCCACCAAAATGCCAAAAGCGAGCCCAACGTAGCAGGAACACGCAGAAAGGAAGTTGAATAGCAAGGCTTGGCGAGTACTCATCCCTGCACTGAGTAGGATCACAAAGTCCCCTGGAAGAAGAAAATACCAAGTGAATAGATATTTTTTGATATAATAGATTTTCTGTTTTTAGATGAAATCAAAGGTGAACATCACTGTCCAACAGGGGCTCCTTCACTGTGGCACATCAACAGGATCTCAACAGCATGTCCCCTGAAAGGCCTCATTCTGCCGAAACCAAGAAGTAACCTGACGTGTACGAGATGAGCAAAGCCCCTCACCTAACTCGTGAGGAAACTCCTCACACAGGATCGCTATCGAAGTGCTGAGTCCCTGAAGCAGAGACAAGGTGCAGGAAGCCCCAATGGCCAGGCCATCGATGAAGTTGTGGAGGGCATCACTGAGTGTTATCATCCAGGCAATGGTCCCTATTTCTGATAGTTTGGGCCCCTTCAGACAGGTACATGAACTTGACTCCCTTTTTCCATCCTGTAAAATAGCAGAATATCAATTAACATGATTGCCAACATTTCTGGAAAGCCTAAGAAATATAGAAAAGTAGGAGATGGGTCAATAGTTTGTCTAGGGAGAGAGAAATTATTCCAACAGCAAGTCTTTCATAGTACACTGGAAACTCTAGCAATATAGTGTAGTATATACTATATATATATATATATATATATATATAGATCAAAGAAAACTTAAGATAGAGAGAAAGGAAACTAATCAAGAGGCAAGCCACTGACAAACATTTCAGTTTACCCTTAAAACAATCCTTTAGACTTGTATGAACAACTTCTGATGACACCCTTCCTAAAATATAAGATAGTAGCCCAAGAATTTGATTTACACACATGCTTTAAAATAAAGGAAGTCAGTCAAAGGCTAAAGGTACAGCCTTTTCCATGTTACAATTTAAAGATTAAATCTACAGTGAAAGCATAATGACATGAGAAACATTTGTTCTAATCCTTCCCCCCGTGCCACTGTGTGACTGTAGGCAAATTATCAGTCAGCTCCTTCACTTGGAAAGGAAGAAAATGCAGTAAATGATCCATTTACTTTCAATGATGTATTAACTTCCCTCTGTTTCAGGGACTGTGTTAGGTGTTTATGATGTTACAACATGGTCTCCATCAGTTTTAAATCTCAATTCTGAACCAATTTCACAAAGTATAATTGGAGCAGGCTTGCCTTTACACTAACACTTCCATTTTAAAACAAATAATAAAAATAGGAAATCCTAAAGCATTTCCCAGTTGTAGAGTAAAAAAATAAAATCAAAATTCATTTCTAAGTAGGAAAGCAATTTGCAATGAACGGAAGAATGTTTTATTTCTAATTCTCT